TAACTTTTTTTTCTGATTTTTAAATGATCAAGACTTTGTTTCTTCTTCTTTTTTCTTTATTTTTCGATTTGTTCAAAATTCAATTGATTATTCATTGTTTTTAATGAATTGCAATTCATTTGCTATGAATCCTCCTCCTCCTCCTCCCCTCCTTCTCCTCCTCCTGTTCTTCTTCTTCTTATCATTTTCATTATTATTATTGTTTTGCTTTTTATTTCTTTTTTTCGCTTTTTTTCTTCTTTTTCTTTTTCTTTTTTTTCTCTGATAAATTTCTCGTTTATAATTTATTCTTCAAAAAAAAAGTAGGATTGTCATTTAGTTGATTTAATTAAAAGATAATGTAATCTGTATGTTTATAGTTAGATGGATAGATGGACAGCGATTTAATTAATATTTGAATAATAATTATGAAAAGAATTGACGGAATTTTCTTTATTTTTCTCTTTTTTGTTGTTGTTGTTTATTCTTTCTCTCTCTCTCTCACTTATTCTCAGTTTTGTCAAGACAACTTCATTAATTTAAATGAATCAAATTGGATAAATAAAAAGGAACTATGTTGGAATAATAAATTTTTGTATCAAAAGGGTGGGGGGATTTGTGAATATATCATGGTAGATCATGAGTCAATTGAAGCTGGAACATCATGGAATAACTAGAAGTACTGAATGGCCATTTCATTCTATTGTGTGACTCTTTAGCAGTGTGCATCCACGAGTCCATCTCATTATTATATTCGAATCCAGGACCTTTCTGATACTAATCATTATATGCTCAGTAATGATTAGCTTCAAGAGGTATTTACTGGAGTTCTAGTGAGGTAGTAACTCACTGAAGACAATGGTGCATTTGTCACTCTATTTCGTGGATTAGTTGAAGTTAAACATTAACACCGTTGAATGCTGGCTTAGTTGTTTAGAGGTTAAGCCATCGCACTCGAATCCCGTGTACGGGATCGTGGATGTACACTACTGATAAGTCATATACTAGCACGATTCGGCCGTTCAGTGCTTCTAGGTTTTCCATAGTGGTTTAGCTTTAATTGACTCATTAATTGAACTATTATATTGTAACATTTTTTTTGTAGATCATCTAGGAAACGCCATTTGTCCATTTGTAATTTAATCTGGAATAACTAAATTAAGTTGGTACGTTAAATAAATTTTTAAAAAAACACATCTGGCAATAGCGTTTTTTTATTATGATACTGACTTAAAAGTACTACTAAGGTAACTGATATTAGTAGTATTGTGAATAGTAGTAGTGTGACGAAGTGAAAACAAGATGATGGATAGTGACTATCAGTGGAATCCAGTTTGACGCGCGTTTCGTCCTATTATGAACTCGTCAGGTAGATGTACCTGAATCCCACAGTTGATGTTCACTTCAAGACTCGAACTCAGTACCATCCTCTTTAAACTCGATTGAGTTATCTACTTAGTCCTTAATAATAACGATTGAGCTAATTATTATTAATACTACTCTTTGAATAAGTATCGATTAGTTTACAAGTATTATTGTACATCTTCTGTAAACTATTCTCTTTAGTTAGATCCAATGGAGCATATAGCCTCTTGTTTATTTAAGTATGTGAATAAGTGAATAAATAAGGGTTTTTATTACTTAATAAGTAGTTTTACTTCATCGGCCAATCAACCAACCAACCACCCAACTATCCACCAATCAACCGAAATACACATATATAAACATGTGGATACAAACAATACAAAAACAAACAATGAAGATACGTAATTTGCATTAAAAACATACGAAATAAGCGTAAGAAACATTTACGTAAAAGTTTTACAAATTCTAGGAAAATTTGTTTGCTTTAATTATGCAAATTAAGCAACTGTATTATATTAAAGTAGAAAACAATGGATCCCGTACTTTGTAGACTGTGAACTGAATAACTACATCGATCTATATTTACGTAGTATTTAATCATCAGCCATCTTGAAATGATATTGCTAACTCATTTAAACTAAGACATAGTTTGTTAGAGTCAGACAACCATGGAAAATCTGGAAATACTAGACAGCTTTTTCGTCCATGACCTCGTTCGCCGGATTCGAACCCGGAATCTCGGACACGAACGATTAACCTCTAGACCAATGAACAAGCATTCAATAGTGTTAATATCTAAATTCAACTAATTCATAAGATTGTGGCACCGATTACTAATGTCTTCAGTGAGTAACTGTATCACAACAGACAAGGTTGAACTCCATTGATCACGACTTTTCACTAGAACTCCAGGAAATATCACTTGATAAAGATTTACCAACATTAAAATAGAGTATTGATCATAATTTGTTGGTCATATTCAATTTTATTGTTATGGAAACAAGATACTCAGATAACTCCAAGAGGGCTCGAACCGATGATTGTCAGATATTGATAGTAAAGGTATTAATTTAGATAAATAAGTTGTGATACCATTAATTTACATTTTGTATTTTGAGTCAATTCATAGTTGTTATTTTTTATTTTCTTTTAGAAGTTCAAAAGTTCAACATCATTAGGTCTTCATACCTAATATAAAATAGGTATGAATACTAATTACTTTATTAGTAAATTATATTAGATGTTCGTACCAAGTGAAACGAAGACTTCAATATCTGAAGGAAAGAGCGTAATAGAATTGACAACCTAGAAACAGACGATTTGGACTTTGCAGATGACCTAGCCCTTCTAACGCATACACACGGACAAATACAGATGGAGGAAAACAGTGTAACAGTGGTCTCTGAATCACTAGGCCTCAGCATACACAAGGGGAAAACTATGATTTTCAAATACAACACAAAGAACACTAGTCCAGACACACTTCATGGCGAAACTCTGGAAAATGTAGAGTCCTTCACATACTTAGGAAGCATCATCGATGAACAAGGAGGGTCAGATGCAAACGTAAAGGTGAGGATTGGCAAAGCAAGGGCCGCATTCTTAAAATTGAACAACATACGGAACTCAATCAAAACAACTGTCTGTCAACCAATATCAAAATGTGAATCTTCAATACGAACATCAAGACAGTTCTACTGTATAAAGCTAAAATTTTGAGAACTACCACAGTCATCATCAAGAAGATTCGAGTATTTATGAATGGTTGACTAAGCTTATAATTTACGGTGGATCCGATCGTGTCACCAAAATTTGTAGTCATAAATGTTACAATTGAACTATTTAAGCCATGACTGACTTTTTACATTACTGAGGTTTAGTTACAATCGACAAAGAATTGAATAGTGACCAATGCCATTTATTCCGAATCCCTATTAGTTGTGTTCGAATCCCATTGATTAAACTGTGGTGTGATCTATAGCCTTAGCGATTCAACAGTGAGCACACTACACATAATGTAGTGCAAATTTACTAATACTAAGAAACACTTGAAATACATGTAATTGGTTACTGCCTAGTAATATTAACTTACGAAAACATTTCAGAAACACTATGGAATACTGTACAGATGTTTTGAACATCTACAGTCTTTGTGTTATTTGTTCCATGTATCGTTTCACATTTCTCATTGTCACACTCTCTGCTTCGTTACATCTTGTTAATAAACAATCAAACATGATGTCAGTCACTGATAGATACAACATTAGATGTAGATAACATTAATTCATTATTTATTAGTTGATAATATGTCATCTGTTGTTGTGATTTCTTTTTAATGAAACATAATGTAGGTTACTATGTTAAGCCTATATAACGTCTCCTAGCTTCTGAACAAGAAAATCAATTCATTCTCCTCAAGTTATATTTTTACTGAGTTAATTATTACCATTGAAAGCGTATATATGTACATTGCTTATCCCATTCATCATATGTTTGTAACGTGTTCTTGTTCGGTTATAAAAATCACTTACTCGCTTTCTCCACTTCACGTCATTTCGTTTCATTCCTCTGATTATCTGTCCAGATCAATGATTGTACAAAATAAACGTATTCAAAACATCCAATCTCGTATTTAACTTATTTCATTTCGTTATATTCATTAACACAACTTAGGTCAATGATTATATACGGGAATAGTTAGGATGTATATTTTGACAACATTCATTCATACAATCTAATTTGAGTCAGATCTCGGATCACAAAACAGTAGGCTTTTCAATTATAAACAAACTTAATGTTTTAATTTTCATAGTTGAGATCATGAGTCAATTGAAGCTAGACCACCATGAAAAACGTAGAAGCATCGGAAGGCCGTCTCGTCCTATTGTGGGACTCTACAGCAGTGTAAATCCACGATTCTACCTCGCGAGATTAGCGCGCGAGCGCTTAAATTCTAGACCACTGAGCTAGCATCCAATGGTGTTAATTTTTAACTTCAACTAATCCACGAAATTGAGCGACACATTCACCATTTACTTCATTGAGTTACTATCTTATAAACAGACCCGGTTGAACTCCTCTGGTGAAGGCTTCTTACTAGAACTCCAGGAAATACTTCTTGACAAAACGGCCAACCAGTGCTTTCAAGTTTTCCATGGTGGTCTAGATTCAATTGATTCATGATCTCAACTATTAAAATTACCATGATATCCACAAAACCCTTCTGATCTCAATGTTTAAAGTCTAGTGTATATACATATATATAGTTTAATATCAACTATTTTTAAATCAATCCGTTTGATAAACAATCACTGAGAACATTTCTTCACTTACAAGGTGTAAACATCTAATATATATATACCTTTGTTTACTCCTTAAAAACAACACAACAATAATATCTCTACAGGAAACACTTATTCAATTTTACCTTATAGATGTATATATAAATGCAGGAAATGTGACTCCGTAGATTTCCTGTCCTAAAAAATGACAATCTCGTTCTCCCTCTCTACCCGCCTCTCCCTAACTCTCCCTCACTCGATCCCTCTCTATGTAAATAGGCACCCTTCATTCATTGTATAAATCACATATATCATTCATAGATGAATATTATTTTAATTTCTATGATTAAATCTTATTAAAAATAGTTAAGATAAATGAAACAAATTGTGTTTTACTTTTTATTTTTTACTTCTCTCATTAACAAAGAAAAGAAAAGAAACACTTCACATAAGCACAGTTATTATGAATCTGATCGAAAATGATTCAATGGTGTTAATAAGTGATGATTGTTAGATAATTTAAGCTTTAGATTCATCATCATCATCATCATCATCATCATCATCATCATCATCATCATCATCATCATCATCATCATCATCATCATCATCATCATCATCATCATCATCATCATCATCATCATCATCATCATCATCATCATCATCATCATCATCATCATCATCATCATCATCATCATCATCATCATCATCATCATCATCATCATCATCATCATCATCATCATCATCATCATCATCATCATCATCATCATCATCATCATCATCATCATCATCATCATCATCATCATCATCATCATCATCATCATCATCATCATCATCATCATCATCATCATCATCATCATCATCATCATCATCATCATCATCATCATCATCATCATCATCATCATCATCATCATCATCATCATCATCATCATCATCATCATCATCATCATCATCATCATCATCATCATCATCATCATCATCATCATCATCATCATCATCATCATCATCATCATCATCATCATCATCATCATCATCATCATCATCATCATCATCATCATCATCATCATCATCATCATCATCATCATCATCATCATCATCATCATCATCATCATCATCATCATCATCATCATCATCATCATCATCATCATCATCATCATCATCATCATCATCATCATCATCATCATCATCATCATCATCATCATCATCATCATCATCATCATCATCATCATCATCATCATCATCATCATCAGCGTGAGTTGTTATAACTTCTCTCAGATGTAAAACGAATAAATGTGTGTAAACACGATTACAGTCCAAACAATAATTTTTAACATTGTGAATATCTTCATTTTCAATGTATCAAGAAAGATTAGCTCCATTATCAACTAAATCCCATCTACTGATTTGTATGCCGGCTTAGTGGTCTAATGGTTAAGCGTTTGTGCGCGAGACCTAAGGTTCTGAGTTCGAATCTCACAAGTGGTATCGTGGATATGCAATTCTCAAGAGTCTCATACTAGGACAGGATGGTTGTCCAGTGCTTCTAGGTTTTCCATGGTGCTCTAGTTTAATTGACTCATGAATTCAATTATTAAGTTAATAAAATCTCCACAAAATCCCCTTCTGATATTAATTAAACACTTGTCATGTAAAAGTATCCTTCTATTTTTCCCTCCTATTCCGAGAGACTTTAAAGTTACTTGTCAGGCTACTGATTATACGGTAATCAGGTTTCTTAGATCAGAAATCAATAACTATGAAGTGGTCCTTATGTTTAAGATTTTCTTTTACGAGGTCTCTTTTTTGATATAATGAAGCATGCACGAATCATACAAAGATATAATGTTATATATTTATGTCACTTATCTATCATTTCTTTGAATTCTAACCTTCTTAAAACTTTAACGGTCAAATTCATCAGTCGGCCTAAGCTAGACCATGATGGGAAATCTGTAAGCACTGGATGACCGTTTCCTACCACTACGGTACTCCTTATCTGTGCGCACTCACGACCTAGCTCGCAGGATTCGAATCCAGAACCTCCGATCTTGAGTGGGATCAGTTAACCCCTAGACCAATGAGCTGGCATTCAACAGTGGTAATGTTTAACTTCAAACAATCGATGAAATCACACCACCGTTCACCATTGTCTTCAGTGAGTAACTGTCTCATAATAGGCAGGGTTGTGCTCCACTTGTCACGGATTTTCACTAGAACTCCAGGGAATTCATCTTGAAGGCAGTCATTAGTGAACACATGATGATTAATATCAGAATGGAAGTTTGTGGAGATTATGATAATTTTTAATAGTTGTACTCAAGAGTCGATTTAAGCTAAAATTAATAACTTAAATCTATTGAGTTGAAATTATTGATTACGGAGTACGATTAATACCAAGCTTACGATAAATTGAATATCGTTTATCAATCATTACCAGGATAGTTACCGTTAGGCTATTCGATTTTTGAACGGCTGTTTTTGTTAACTTGAAAGTGAGTAAAATATGACAATAGAAACGATGAACCAATATGATTGCTGATTTTTTTATAAACATTTTGCACGTTTATCCCCTGTACGGAGCTGAAACTTGAAGAACTAATACAACCACCATCAAGATGGTACAAGTATTTATAAATAACTGTCTACCCAGGACAGGGTTGGATGGAGAATGCTGGTGAGCGGCCTATGCTCCTTTTTGAGGAGTAACAGGCGTAAGCAAGTAGGTAAGTAAGTACGTTTATCCTCAATTACTACTAACAATTTGTATTATTTCTATATTTCAAAGATTATAAATAGAGCTTAACTGACATATAAATGAAGTGGGCTCGAATAACTGAATGACAACCTCTTAGACTGCTTACTTACTTACGCCTGTCAGCCCAAATGAAGCATAGACAAACCACCAGCATTCTTCAACCCACTCTGTCCTAGGCCTTCCTTTCCAGTTCTATCCAATTGTTGTTCGTTTTTCTCATGTCTGTTTTCATTTCTCGTTTCATTTCCCATTTGTTTAGCCTTGAGGATTCCAAGTGAGTGCTGGTCTTGTGACGCAGTTGCATGCTTTCCTCAATGTGTGTCCTATGCCACTTCCAGCACTTCTTCCTGATTTCTTCCTCCTCTGCTGTGATGTGGTTTGTTCTCTCCCACAGTAGGTTGTTCCTGATAGTATCTGGCCAACGGATCCGAAGAATTTTGCATAGACAACTGTTAATAAACACCTGTATCTTCTGGATGATGGATTTTGTAGTTCTCCAGGTTTTCGCCCCCCTCTTAGATTAGGAAACTAAATAAACAGAGCTTGAATCCCTCAAAAAGCATCAGTTTCCTCAAAATGATTAGCTAGTACCAACTAGTATGAAACCTATATCTATAATTTGTAACCGATTACTATAAACGCAGTAATATTCAATTGTGTTTTACCAACGTAGGGTAAAAATTCGAATGAAAGCTATTGCGATCGTGAATATATATTGTTATAGTGAGTGGTTTCCCAAATCTGATATTGATACACGACATGCTACGCGCTAACCTACCTAATGACTATTCGGGCAGGAACACAAGAGTCAGTAATGTTGACCCTACAAGCTAAAAGATTGATCATGAGAATGTTTGCATAACATTCTGTTGATATTCACTTGGTGTCGTTTATTTGAATCTTCCTATAGATGTTTATGGTTGCAATTGATCAGTCTCATATTTGCATACATGCATCTTATGTAGATTGACTTGATATTGTCTTAAGTCTTAAGCATTCTAAGCAAAGATCCAGGACAAGTGTTTCGTCCTATTTAGGAGTCGTCAACTGGATATGCCTGCATCTGTTAGTTGATGTTCACTCTGGGACTCGAATCCAGTACTGTTCACTTCAAACGATATCACATTATCCACTTAGCTACTTATTCCTGACGCTTGTGAATTAAGTTAATGCTGAGGCGATCCACACAGGATGCACATATGCCAAAAAGAGACTGATCGATTGCAGTCCTAAACAATAATCAGGAGATTCAAACTAACAATACAAAATGAATTGACACTTCACCCCATTGCATAAGCAAGTGACTATCATGACTCATTAGCTAAATGGATAACGTGGTGGCGTTTCAAGTGAACGGTACGGCGTTCGAGTCTCAAATTCAACATCAACTCTGAGATACAGGTACATTCAACTGACAAACCACAAACCGTACGAAACACACGTTCATGTTTCCATTGCTAGCCAACATCCATCTTTGCTTATAATATCTTTAGAGAATTTCTTATGCAATTAGTAGATCATTGCCAGGCGAAACGTTGGAATTACTTCAAATTCTTTCACTGAGATTTTACAAATATATATTATTCCTCTTTAATAGTAGATCATTGTCTAGAATAAGATCCTTCTATTTTTAACCCTGTGATAATATCAATGCTAGCTAACACATACACACACACATACATACAAACAAAACAATATAGTTCGAAGATGATAACATAAACTAGAAACAAGTTAAACTAATAAATAAAATGAGTTTTAGAAACAAACAAACAAACAAACATTCTCTCAATAGCAACTATCATTTCCACATGATTTAAAACTCAACTTTATAAAACATGAAACATGAAATCTCTATACTCATAATGGATTCCTTTTGGTTTGTATTATGTGTTTGAGTGATCAGTTAATTTGCATAAATAATCATCATCATCATCATCATCAATTTAGTAGTATATTAAAAAAGTAATATATAACGGTACATGGAAGAAAACCATAAAAGTAGGATTATATTGATATATATCAATAAGATTTATAGACGTACTTAGAACAGGCATACACAAATACACACATACATGCATATATATATATATATATATATATATATATATATATATATATCTGCTTAAACGAAGGTTCTCCAGGGTATATTGAGTAAATCATAGTTTCATTCTATTTTACATTTTCTTCTCATCAATAATTACCCATCATGCAAAACAAAAGTCAGAATGTATTGACTAATATCAGTATAGAGATCGGGGATATGCACTACTGAAGAGTCCTACAATAGGACGAAGTTACTGTTCAGTGTATCCATGTTTTCAATGATCGTCTAACATCAATCGGTTCATGATCCCAATGAACAATATGGTAAAGAAAAACGTAGTATAGGGAATGGAATTGACTGATTCTTTAGATGATAGTATGATTTTGAAATTACATTTTTCATCAATAATTAGAGAGTTCTTATCAGTCAAAGCATTTTTCAATCAAAGTAATGAACATCCGGGTTGAGTTGTGGAGACTATTTAGTTTTTGATCGAGATCATGAACCTATTGATGTTAGACCACCATTGAAATCTCAAAAGAGCTGGACGACCGTTTCGTCCTATTGTGGGACTTCTCAGAATTGCACATCTGCAATCCCGCTCACGAGATTCGAACCTAGGGATTTTGGTCTCGTGTTAACTAAACATTAACACCGTTAGACGCCGGCTCAATGGTCTAAGGGGTCAGCGTTCGCGCGCGAAACTGAAGGTCCTGGGTTCGAATTCCGCGAGCGGGATCGTGGATGTGCACTGTTAAAGTAATAAAATCAATAAATGTTTAATGTTTCTAAGGTGGTAATTGGGTTTTTCATGGCTAGTTGATACGTTAATCTGAGTGTAAATATATCTTCATTTCTTAAGTTTAATAAACCATAATTGTTATACAATTACACAATGAAAGTTAAATTACATAACATATCCAATACTTCAACTACCTATTCAATGTATTTAATACAATGAATAATAAAATCAAGTGGACTCTTTTAGGATCCCTCCTTCTCATACATAATAACTGAATAGGCAAACTTAATCGTTTTTAATGTATCTGATTTTTATATAACTTTCATTTTGATTAATCAATAATGGGAGGTGGCTGGGGGTCAAGGTTTACAAGATTATTTTACGGTCATTCAAGGTCATATCGGTTTATTATAGTTACACCCTAATTGTTAGTTGATAAATTTAAAAGATGAATTTAAATGGTAAACAAAATCAAGATTGATTCAGACAAACGATCGGAGAAACGAAGGCAACAAAGGGAAGTGAACAGAGAGCAAGAAGCGAAAGGAAGCACAGTGGATAAGGTATGTCAGCCAATTTGATTTCATCAAGCGTTAATCGATATTTATAGCCGAACAGTAATAAGTTACAGACATGTGATGAGTAAGATAAGAAATGCACATACATACGTTTGTATAAAAACAATGAAAGTCGATCAGTGAATAAGTGGCAGGT